CATGGTTATGGAAAGTGGTCATGCCTATATGAAAATTTGTCTAGGACATAGTTTGGCAAACTATTCATAGTTAAATAAATATACATATATAATTAGTAATTATAAAATGCCCATTGTTTTTATTTTACAGGTTTATCTCATTTTAGTTTTATCATATACAGTACTGATGTTGCAGAAATTGTTGAAAATGTTGTGATTATAATTGATATTGTTGTTTAGCTATTTATTTAATTGTTTTGCAGGAATGGATATTCTGTGAACAGTCCAGCCACTTCCATCAATTAACTGAGGATATTACCACAGCCCTTTTACTTGATTCGATGTTGGGTTATGAAACTTGAGACAATTAGCATCTGATGGAGAAGCACAAACTCCTGTAAACCAAACCCAGTGCATTTTGATATTAATTGTACCGAAATATACTTATGATAATGAAGAGTTAAATACAGTATAATCCTTCCTGTATTCTTTTGCATTGACCCTTAAATTGACTGGTAATTAATATTGTAAATTATTTGTCAATTAGTGAAAACTATTTTTTTTTTCCTTAAGCAGTTAATAATATATAATATGATAAAACACTGAAATATCAACAAATAAAGTTTGGAAATCTGAAATCACTGTGGTTTAGATCGTTTTTTTTTAGTTATGTACCATGACAGTTACAATGTATTTTAATCCAAATACATGCAACTAAATCGTTTTTTCATTACCTGCAATGTAGCCTCTTTATTTTTACAAATTAAACAGAATGATTAATTTATTGAAAAATAAATCTGATAGCTATGGAGATCAGAACAATCCACTGTAACTTAGAAATAATACAAGAAAAAAAATTGATACTAAAGGGTGAAATGTGAATTTAAAATTAAAATATAAATGTATTGCAAAACAAATGGATGTCATGAAATTAAATAAATTAGGCCTCCTTGTTGGCCAACATACTGTACAATGTAACAATAAATTAAACCTTTCTCATTAAACAATTTATTACTTAGCTTCTCATCAAATGTTAATTAACAAAAACCAAAAAATTGACATTATTCATTGTTTTTAAATCTCGGAAATACAGCTTATGCAAATGATGCAAATAATTGTCCAATACGATGATATTCACCCATTCGTACGTAGCAAATTGAGGTTCCTAAATCTTAGCCAGTTAGAAAAAATAAATATTTATATTATTATTAATGTTATATTAACTACAACAATTACATTACTGTATGTTAAATCTAATATGTAGGCCTATTTCCAATCGATGTCTGCCAACCCGACGTGAATAGGGCATATTGTGCTCTCTAGGCTAGGCCTAAACCTGAATGTGCTGAACCCGGCTAGAAAGCATGAGTTTGGCTGTATCATACAGGCCTATCGATAATAATACTGTATTTATTAACTGGCGTGAAGTTGGTTACTTTCTATATGGCACACTTCTGTTGTGAAGGTGCGTCTGAATATTACCTCCATACATGGTTGGACGAATTGTGATTAGTGGCCTAGCACTCGTCGCGGTGCAGAAGCTGAGCTGACATGAATTCTCCTTATAGCTGGGCCGAGGTGAAGCATTATTAGCATGTTTAATTTATGCTGCCGTAATTAGCAAATCGGAAATCAAAGTTGTTAAATACGTCACCCACCACGAAATCGTGGTGGCTGCAATCGAAATCCTCACAGTTTGCCCAGTCCCTAATCCAAGAAAAAGTATACTATGAAACGCCAAGCAAATAGGTAATATGGAACGCCATTGGTGCCAAAATAGATTTATAAACAGATTAGGGACTGGAGCCCAGTCTACCCCCACCCCAAATGCACAAGAAATTTGATCTAATTAAAATTGAACAAACATATTATGTCATTTAATTTTTAATAACATGTCAAACTAAGAATGCAATTTCTCTGCATATATAATTTTTACATCATTGATTTTTTTTATGCAGGTGTAGAATTTTCTGATATTTGCCATTCCCTCCTATTTTATATATTTAAAATTGAATTTCAGCAAAAAACTTTTAAATATGGTAGACTCTTTAAAAAAACATAATTATTTCTCCTATGTCTAAAAGTGCTATTTTATAGTTCAGCCCCAGTACTTGGCCATCTCAAAAAATGGTTGTTGTCCCTTGATCAATGAGTGTAGCTATGGGGCTGGCCAGGAGTTGAATACCAGCTATACAATAACTTCCTAGAAGTAAAAACTCTAATCAAACAATATTCCAGTTATTTCAAGTCTAGGTTTTGGGGCCAGAATAATAATCACTCATAAAAGTGAACATGTATCTAGTCAAGATTGTATTAGGCATAGGGCCTATGTCAATTTAAAGTTTTTTTTAATCGTATTAATTTCATTAACATAAAAAAGAAAATGTACAAATAATAACATTACTCAATCTTCTACAACCACATGTTATAACTTAAAGGCCAGCTCCGGGCATACATTTTCTCTTCACTATGTGTTCAAATACGCTATTATAAGATATCATGTGAGTTATCTCGACAAAAAAATTGGCCAATTTGACTGAAAACAAGAATATAAAAATCAAGCAGTACTACTTTTTTTCACTAGCTGGGTTTTAGAAAACTCCAAGCGTGATGAGAAAACAACACACTAAAAGTCAACCAACGACACCGCAAGAACGTGACATCGCGCTGCTGTGGGCTTCACCTCACTAATTTGTAAAACGCGTCGGTTAAGATGGTGTAATTATTAAACATAATTGCCATAACAGAATCAATAATACAATTGATAAAACTACAAAAAAGAAATGACAAAAAAGAGTAGTTTACGGATTAACTTGCATATAAAACAAAGATCTAGGCCAAGAAGATTTTAAGGCCCTCCCTAGGCTAGGACTATCAATACCAGCTCAGTTGCCGCCCTGTATGTAAATATTACCAACTAAGTATTACTTTATTAATGTAAGGCCTGCTGTTGCCTCGTTTATTCTCTGAGAATTTCCCTTTTTCGATTCATAGACGAGTTTGATAACATCCTAATATCAAGGCACAGTTTCTTGAATTTATCATTGTCAAACAACTGTGGTCTGCCATTTTTCCTTCAATTGTAGCAAATGATACCACATAACGAAAACTGACCCAATCGTCGTCAACTCGTCCATCCTCTTAGCTGGGCTGGGAATGAATCCCGCTGGGCTGGCTATGCTGCAGCATAGGTACCTTCTTCTGTCGACGATTTTCCAACGATATAGGGCCCAGGCCTCACCTCTGGCTCAAAGGCATCCATAGCTAGACCTAGATCAATAAAATCCAGGACTCGCAGAATCGCCTGCCCGACGTCCCGGGGCAACCAAATATCTGCATCGGGCAACCAAAAATAAATAGGGTGCGTCCCGACGGGCAACCTCTTTAAAATCTCGGAAAAAGTACACCAAAGATAGGCCTCATAGCGACTGTGAAAGATGTCGAAAAATAGTCATGTCAATCGAATCCAGGCTGCCGATACTGCGTATGGTTTTTTTAACTCTTTGGGAATTCGGTAGTGTGGAGCGTTATCTCCTTGTAGCTGGGACTAAAACCACAGATGTACGTACAACCGCCAAGTACTCAATACAGCAATACATGTGTTTGTGTATAGTCGGCCATATGAGCATCGTTGGTATAGGTTTCTCACATGCGTGATAAGCGGCGGCATCCTTTAAACGTAAATGCTCTACTAGCATCCACAAAATTTGTTTTTCTTCTCTATGATTTTAAAAGTATATTATAAAATAGCGGGATTGCATTATGTCCAGTATTATTTGTAACTGTATTGTTTGAAATAAGAAATGAGTTATATTTGTTTTTGTCTCGATTTTTTGTAACATAATATTCTGTTAAAATATCAATTAAATATTTATAACTATAACAGGGTTCTCCCCTCGCCGGTCAGTCCTGTCCGGCTCTCAAATTTCCGACCGGCATCTAAAACTGCACCATTTTTACAAAGATTTTCGAGTCTTCTAATATATCATAAAAATACATAACTTTTTCTTCCCCCTCCCCCATCGTTTCGGCAGAAAAGCCAGTTTGTTTGTAAATAATTATCAACCATAACAGCATAACAGGGAGGGGGAGGGGAGCAAAGGGGCATTGTCGGGCGTCACTCAAAATATTTCTAAATTGGTAAAGCCCAAAAAAAATTTGACAATTAAGGCTTAGGCCTATTTAATTAATTTTAGAAGCTAATAGGCCTATGTAGAATATATATATGTTTTTTCTCCCTGATGAATTGTTATTTTTATCCCTGATGTGAGGCAGGTACTATAATAGCATTGTGTCAATTGCGAAAAAATATAGGGGGCAAGTAAAAAATTGGGAGGGCAACAAAATCTGAGACCTGGCTTGCCCAAAAGGCAACCAAAAATTTCAAAATTCTGCGAGCCTGAAATCTACCACCAAACCTTCCCGTCTATCTTTGCACAATTACTACTCAACCAAAACAGGCCTACTCCTGTCTTTAGTCTTTTTATTCATCATACTTTCATCTTCTCGCTCGCACTTTTTTATACAAGCCAGAGAGCAGCAGTACAGTGGATTGGCATGTTAGCGCATGCGCAAAGCTCAGAGCGATTGACTCTCCGGAAAGTGAAAAAAATCAAGTGGTTACGGTGGGGAATAAATGATAATTGCGCAGAAATACGTACCTGACGTAAAAAATAAAAACACCAGAAATGAATAGTTCGACTAAATTTACCCCAGTTTAGTCATTTAGTGTAATTTTTTGCCCTATTGCTTATTTGTTATGAATTTTTCAAAAAGCTTGCTCTTAAGGTCATTTGTGTGCAAAAGAATAGGAATTTTGCTGGGCAAGTTTACCTATACCCCCACTTTCAAAAAAGTTCTTATTTTCAAAAAAATCATGTAGCAAAACAAAATTCATAAAAATCCTGAAACATAGGTGAATCAATATTGATAATAAATATAATATATAATCAATAGAAAAATTTTGCCCTGAGCTGGCCTTTAAGGAGTATAAAATATATCATTGACTGATTTGTACTTACTTCCATATAACAGTATCCCTTCATTTATACTCAGTAGTGTTTGTTCATCTCCAGAGTTAACTGCATACTGTGCTCTACACTGGTATTTTCCTTCATCCTCTTTTCTGGTATCACTGATTATTAATGTTGTTTCTGACTGTGGATACTTATCAGTATCAGACACATTAAGTACATTGCCATCTTTGATCCATGTGATGATCATAGGTGTTGGAAGACTGTTAGTTACACATTCCAAACTTGCACTTCCAAATATTTTCTGAAGGCATGGTTCTACAGTAATATCTGCAATGACAGTTAAAATTAATATCATCAAATAACATAAATTGAAAGCAGTGGAGCATTAATGTTAACCATGGAGCAAAAGTCACTAGTGACATGTTTCATTGATTGATAATAATTCCCTTGTTAAAATATCAAGATTATGTATAAAAGTAGTAGAGAAAAAAGAAAAGAAAAGCAAGGATAGGACCAGGATCCTATTCCAGCAATGTACATGAATTTTTTTTATTTAACTTGAGCCAAGGACATTGGCTTACTTAATCACTTTAATTTGGCAAACCCTTTACTAGACAAACATACACACAAGATGCTCTAAATACACTTAAAGTCCTATTACATGAGGTAAGCTTAGGAAGTGGAGTTGTTTTAGTCATAATAAAATCCTTTTACCATAACAGCCATAAACCTCAACTGTGTTTACACCGTCCTTGAAGCATTAACTGTGTCTACACAATCTTTGAATAATGTTCAATTACTCTACACAAAAGAGCATGTAACTTTGGCAGATCAGACGTAAAACTGTTACCTAAACGTCCTGTATTTACAAATCTGCATTTTCCTTTTTCTGGATATCGAGTTATACCCGATTCACACGTACAAAAATCTTACCAAATGTAACAAAATGTAACCAAAAGTAACATTTTACGGCACGTGTGAAAGTACCTCCGTGTAATATCCTTGTAAAATCTCGGAACGTCTCGGTAATCTTTACCAGCCTCGTTGAGGCTGGTAAAGCTTCCGAGATGTAGCATGGATAGATCTGCGCATGCGCAGGGATTTCAACACAACAACAATCTACTGTGTTTCACTAGGTTCTTTGAATTTTCTTCCTTCTGCAGATGATTTTGATCCACTAGAAATAGATAGGCCTAGTTTTTCTCAATGATTAATGAATTACCCTTGTTATTGATGTTAATTAGTAATGGTAGAAGAATAAGATATACATAAAATGAACGTCGTGATGGTGTTAGTACTATTACTAGTATTATCAAGAGTCGACAGAAACGTTGGAAGCTATGCCTAGTTTAGAAGTAGTAGTAGTAGTAGTACAGCAGTTGTTAAGGGCATTGATTGCTTCGAATGTTTACAGTGATGGTGAGTTCAACAGTCCATCTGTGACAGGGGTTCTCAACTAGGCCTAGGCTAGACCTATATCGGCAGTAGGGGAAAAAATGATTCAATGAATAAACACTGAATAAATTTTACAAGACCTTGGCATTACTTTACAGACGCGTGTGAATGCTTTTTATCTCAGTAGAAATAACTCGGGAGATCGCTCGGTTACAATTTGTTACTTTTTATTAAATTTAAACGTGTGAATCGGGTATAAGTTTGATACATTTTTACTACCAGATCACCCATGCCTCCCTGTCTGTTTTTTTTATCGGTGCTGTTCTCAATTTCCATGGTAAAACCGCTGATGCTGTACCTGTGTTATTCTGCTTGGTTGAGTTGGTGTTGGTGCTTAAAGGTTCCATTGCCTCCATTATTGATTTTCTATTGTTCAATTTCAGAACTTGGCGAGTCAACAGCTTTTGTCTTCATTTGAATGGCATGGTTTTACTTCATATTTTTACTTTATGCTTTAACTAATTGTGGATTATACAGTACAGCTCGTCTTCCAAACGATGTCTAATTTATTGAGTACATTGTTTTTACACGCTGTGTGTATATTTATTAATAAAAAGTATAGCAGCGTTAGTCTGATACAGTATAGATCAATATAAAGTAAATAACAGCAACACTTTTGAGACTAACAATATAGAATTTATTCTCTAGCTTTCGTGTATGAAATAAAGCCAGTAGGATATATATAAAATCACTTTATTGCATAAAAAACAATACAGGAAACAAATAAAGAGCCCAGAACAGTGTCCCAAAACTGGGAGCACGCAAGGCTAAATGAGTTGACATACAAAAATATTAAGACACAAAATATACCAATATATAAAAGTATAAAAATAGAGGCCGGCCTATCATCAAATTAAGGGAGACTGCATTCAATTAAATTGTCAGTTCAAAAAAAAGGCGGATTAACCCAAGAGGGTTGATCTTTGGCATAGTATATAGTAAAAGAGGAAACAATTGCAATTTTGGAGATATCGTCTCGAAGTTGTTTAAATAAAATTGAATTATTGCACAATTTGTGGATTTTCTTTAAACTTTTAATATTATCAGGGGAAATGTATCCTCTGGAGCCTACTTCGAAACAGACGAGTTCAACCTCGAAGCCAGCATCTATAATATCAGAAATTAGTGGTGCATATTTGTTACATTTTCTGGAGTGGGTGGCATCGATGCCAGTTTCGAAAGGGACGGTAAGTTCAAAAATGAGGAGCTTCTTTAAGTTTTTCCAATAAATGCATAAATCTGGTATTAAGTTAGTTGGTAAGCATTCAGGGGGAATGGTAGTATAGTGAAATGGTAGTATAGTGAAAATGCTGGGTGCTGGCTCCGAGGTCGGATAGGACTTCAGGGATACAAGTAGCGTTACAAAAACCTTTCTTAAGAGTCTTAACAATATGATTGAGGATGTTATTGTGCCTACATGTAAGGCGCCCCTGGTCCAGGGACCTTTGACAAAAATTAAGAACGTGATTAAGAGTTTCCCGGTTACCACATGAACTGCATTTTACAGAGTTGGATTTTCCCCATCTATGTAGATTAAACCTGGTGTTTAAATATCTGTTACAGAGAGCATCGATCTTAACTAGATGAGAAGCACAAATGTCATTGACTGTAATATGATATTTTAAACTGGGAAGAAAACATTGCGAATAAACTCTGATCTTGAACTCGAATCTGATTAAAGAATTGTCTATCTTATTAATGTTTTTCTCGATTAACGTATATAGGTACTGAAAGACATCCAGATCTGTGTTATTAAAGGTGATAATAGAGCCCAAAAATTTGTGTGAATCATTCTCAATTGTTGGAATAATATCAGCGCCCAGAGTGTAGTTAATTTTAGAAGCTCTCCCACGGACAATGGAGAGTGATCGTCATTTTTTAGGCTTAAGCTTTAAACCATGTCTTCGACGTATATTTGTACGTAATAAACCGATAACCATCTCGCACTCTTGCAAGATTGTGCCACAATTCCGCAAATCATTTCCAGTTTCATTACCTTACCACCCACAATAAAATCTGTCTCTTATACACATCTAGATGTGTATAAGAGACAGTCTCTAGAGTGAATTCAATTAAAGAATGGGGAACAGAGCCGAAAGCGTCTTCAAGGTCGAAGAAGGTAATATGAGCAGTACGTGATTTAAATTTAGCATGGTGAATTATTTCATGCAAAACTTGATTATGTTCTACACATCCATTTACACCTTTCATCTTCGATGCGATTGGCCAGTATGAGATGAAATATTTTACTTGTAGAGGAAGAGAGCGCGATCATTCTGAAATTAGAAGGCGTATCTGTGTTTCCTGACTTGTGAAGAAGAATAATGTTTTTGTCTGTCCATGACGATACTGGGACTCCAGAGGCCAAAATCTTATTGTATAATGTAGCTAAAAAAGAATGGGTACATGTGAGTTTCTTTAAAATTCCGTAATGGATGCCATCAGGTCCAGGAGCAGAATTTGCACTCTTACGCTTCAACACATTCCTAATATCACGGGGATGAATGTTGTCGATATTGAAAGGAGTCATCGCAGATGGCGGAATACGTAACTTTGGAATCCATTTTAACTCATCTATGTTGATGGTGCTAGGTATTTCATACTTCAGATTAAAGAATAAATCTGCCGTTTCTTTTGTAAATGAAGGAAAGTTCTTTGTTGCATATAGTGAGTCGTTAAGTAATTGTTTGCTATATCTCCAAAAATTTGAATGATAAAGTTTTTCTTCGTGTTTTGTACTACGTTGTTTTTCATTATTCCTGTTGATTTTCTTTAGATAGTCGTAGGCTCTAAGAGCTTCAAAAAACTCGATTTTCTTTTCTTGTACTGCATCTTTTCTAAAAGCTTGTTTCCTTAATTTATTCTTTAGTTTGCGTGCCTCAATTAGGGTTTTTGGTTTGCGACGAGTATAGCGATTAGCAAGATTGCTACAAGGCCTACTTTTCTCTTCAGCAATAAATTCAGGATTGGCCCTAAGAAATTCGTCAAGTATTGTTGTGAAACAAATTTCGGCGTCTTGGGGTGAGATTTCATCATTAGCCAAAGCATGGTGTAATGGCCTTAATCTACCATTAAGACTGTTATTATGAGAGTTCCAGATTTGATTACTAAGGTGAGGTATAATATATTTTATAAATAAAGCAACACTACAAGCTACTGGCGCCATTGGTATAGGTAGTGTCATTGTGTTGACGTAGCTTCGCCGTGTAGTAGTAAGAATGTTTACGTAATCTACCAGGTACAGACCGTTCAAAACAACAAGCACAATACCTGCAATGAATGTCGGGTAGGGCCTACGCATAATCACGTTCAAAATTCATCAAATGTATAAAATGTTGAAAACTAAACAAACCGTGATTAAAGAACAAACATCAAAGACGGATGAAGATAGACGAAAAAGCTGTTTAGGTGAAGGAAAACGCAGGAATTCACAAATTTGCAGAGGCGACGAAACCCTTCCAGCCACGAGTTCCGTATCACTCGTCTATCATTATGATAGGAATCTATCATTATCAGTAGGAATAAATGTCATTAACAAAGGAATGATCCATTTCAGAATAGGGGTGTTGGTTAAGACATAGACAGGAGCCATTACACACCCAGTTAATCCTGCTCATATGGTAATTTCTGGTGTTCATAATTTAACAGCGAACTACAGTATCAGTTATTTCTCCATTGTATTAAACTAGGCTAATTATTTATTAGGTTGTAATTTATTTTACTAAATTTATTTTACTAAATTTATCACAGTAAATACAATCTAATAACATCTGTATTTATTTATGTAAATATATTAAATATTAGAGTACATTTAATAATCTTAATAATACAACCTAAATAATAGAAATAAGTTCACTTATTTCTTTATTGCA